TGCGCAGCTCTTCCGCCGACCTCCGCAGCTCATCCGCAACCCTCCGCAGTTCATCCCGCTGGCTGCGCTGCTGTTTCGCTCTGGTCTCCGCCTCCGCCTGATCACATGGCGCTGCTCCAGAAAGACGTGAATGCCTTGGGGACTATGGAGCCGCGACACACACACGAGGAAGACATTGAAGATGTCGAAGCCCATGGCCCAAAGGCCGTCGCTCGGTTGCGGTGCTGGTGAACGTGAGACCCAGAAAGTGCTGGAGTGCATCTGGCCCGTGATCGAGCCTGGGGGGGCCGCTCCCGGAAGCCCGTGTGGCGGTTGGCGCCCGCCGCCATGCATAGCGCAAGAGCCAACAAAAAAACACATCTAGATGTGTATAAGAGACAGGGGGGAGGAAGTGCGGAGGTGGGCGGGGAACTGCGGAGTTGGCTTGTGGAAAGGCGGAGGCCAAGAGGAAGAAAGAGGTGAACGGGCGGAAGGGCAGGGGAAGACCGAAATGGAAAGAAACGGGCCCGCACACACCTTGCCACTCGAAAACAAAACACAAATCGACAGGCTAAAGACAAGTAACTACACGCCAACATTGCCCAACGCCTGTCTCTTATACACATCTAGATGTTTATAAGAGACAGCCTTGCCACTCGAACACAAAACACGAATCTACAGGCTAAAGACAAGTAACTACACGCCAACATTGCCCAACAATACACCCACAGGCATGTGACCAGACCACGCGAACCTCTAAAACCTCAAAATCCCAATTACAGCCAGTATTTTCTATGACAAATCGCGAAGATATTTTTCCATATTTAAGAAAACAAATCGAAAAATGAAAATGGGAATTTGCGGTCACCTCCAGAGGTGGCTGCAAAATCCCTTGCCCTGCGGCTTCCCAGGCTGCTGACAAATGGGCATTGGAATAGTACATTTGCGATTTTGGTAGTCTTCGCGATTTTCATAGAAAATACTGGCTGTAAATGGGATTTTGAGGTTTTAGACGTTCGCGTGGTCTGGTCACACTCGCGTGGGTGTATCGTTGGGCAATGTTGGCGTGTAGTTACTTGTCTTTAGCCTGTAGATTCGTGTTTTGTGTTCGAGTGGCAAGGTGTGTGCGGGCCCGTCTCTTTCCATTTCGGTCTTCCCCTGCCCTTCCGCCCGTTCACCTCTTTCTTCCTCTTGGCCTCCGCCTTTCCACAAGCCAACTCCGCAGTTCCCCGCCCACCTCCGCACTTCCTCCCCCCTGTCTCTTATACACATCTAGATGTGTTTTTTTGTTGGCTCTTGCGCTATGCATGGCGGCGGGCGCCAACCGCCACACGGGCTTCCGGGAGCGGCCCCCCCAGGCTCGATCACGGGCCAGATGCACTCCAGCACTTTCTGGGTCTCACGTTCACCAGCACCGCAACCGAGCGACGGCCTTTGGGCCATGGGCTTCGACATCTTCAATGTCTTCCTCGTGTGTGTGTCGCGGCTCCATAGTCCCCAAGGCATTCACGTCTTTCTGGAGCAGCGCCATGTGATCAGGCGGAGGCGGAGACCAGAGCGAAACAGCAGCGCAGCCAGCGGGATGAACTGCGGAGGGTTGCGGATGAGCTGCGGAGGTCGGCGGAAGAGCTGCGCA